ACGATGCATTGTATGACCGTCCATGCAAATCGTCGATCTGTTGGGAAGAAATAAGTGATAGAAAATTGTTCAACCTAGATCTTATAGGGGAGACTACAACCAAAATAGTTAAGATCAGGAAGAACGTTCAGACGGCTCAAAATAGGCATAAGAGTTATGCAGATACCTGGATAAGGGATTTTGAATTTGAGAAAGGTGATCAGGTGTTCATTAAGGTCACTCATTTCAAAGTAATCAGTAGGTTTGGTAAGAGAGGGAAATTAAATCCCCAGTTCATTTGGCCATTTGAAATCTTAGACAGGATTGGCACCGCCACCTGTAGACTAGTACTGCCTCTATAAATATTCAGAGTCCATAATGTGTTTCATGTGTCTATGCTATGCAAGTACAACCTGGATCCCTTTCACGTTTTGGCCCACGAGCCCTTTTTGCTATAGAATGATCTGTCCTACGAGGAGATGTCGGTCAGTATTGTGGACCGAAAGAGTAGAGTACTCCACAAATAAGAAATTTCTTTTGTTAAGGTCTCATGGCAGAATTACACACCGGGAGAGGTCATACGGGAGCTAGAATTAAAATTCAGAGATCAATATTCTCAACTATTTGATTGAGTGAGAGAGAGACAAATTTGAGGGATTAAATTTCTTTTAAGAGGGTGAGAGTTGTAATACCCTTAATTAATTTTATTATAATTAAAATTAATGTATAAATATAATTTTTAAATTTTTAAATTTTTTATTTAATGTAAAAATGAAGAAAAATAGGTGGATGATTAAATTGAAAATAATTTTGAGAAAAATATGTGAAAATTTGGGTTCTGGAGGTATTTTTGAAAGAAAAATCAGAAACTGGGGGTCAAAATACAATTTAAAAAAATTATACCACGTAGGACACCCAGTCAGCAGCCCTAACGAACTGGAGCGCATCGTGTGGCAAGGTAGGCTGACGTGGTGCCACGCGGGAAGCCACGCTTGTGATCTGCATGCCCGCAATCGGACGATCCGGGTTTGTTCCCGTGCGCACGGACAGTTCGAATCCATTTCCCCTTTAAACACAATCGAATGGCATATATCAAATCGCGATGAACAGTCTAGATCTTTTTTCTATTTAAACACGATAGGGTAGTCTAGATTAAATCGCGATGAATGGTCCAGATTCACTTTTTATTTAAACACGATCGGACGGTCCAGATCACATGCGATGAATGATTTAAATTAAAAGTAGATGGATATAAATAACTCTCTTCACACTAAATTCTAACCCTAGCTGCCAAACTCCCCTTGCCGGAGAAGAAGAGCTAGTCGTTAGGAAGGGAGTCGATCGCCGCCTGCTGTCGCACCGGAGCCACTTCCAACTGCCAAAATAGGTAAAAAAAAATTTGATTCGCTCAAAATTTAATTTTAAACACCTTCATAGCCAAATCAGAGCAAATGGACTGGCGGATGAACCAAAAACTGCAGAAAAAACCCGGTAGCACCCCCGCAGTAAAAAGCAAAAATCACTTCCAATGAAACCCTTTCCAATTCCCGTTTAATGTAATTTTTTCACCATTGTAATCACTATTCCTTTCTCTATAGGTTAATTGAAGCAAAACACCCAACCGCGAAGGTGAGCCGGCGGAGCTGCTGCACCGAAAAACTTTGCCGCTGGCAAGCTTCAGTTTTTCAACTTTTTTCTGCAAACCAAGTCCCTTTAACGTGTTTTTTTATAGAGATGGGTACAAAACCGGTCGAAATTGATCGAAATCGGCCGAAAATGGCCAACCCAAGGCAAACCGCTACCGCAGGCGGTGGTATTGTCACGAGTCGCTGTGTCAAAATTTTAGAACTGACCAAAAATGGTTTCTAACATTGATTTAGGATTTTTTGAGGTATTTCTAGGTACTTGAAGCATGTTTTAATTCTTGAAGAAAAATTCAGGGAATCTGGGGACCGCCAGCAGGCGCAGCTGAAAGTTTAGCATTTTGAACATCAATTTTAGTAAGAATTCCTTACCCTATTTCTTGTTATGGAATTGAAGTTTAATTATAAATAATCTGGTCTTTTGTAGAAAATATCCATAATTAATTATAGGTTACTAATGGAGGCATAACTGGTTATTTATTTGGTATGTTTAACTAATTGATTGATTTTACAGTTTGAATGCATGATAATATACTAAAATTAGTATGATGATGCGATTGTGTTTACTTGATGCATTTATTGCGTGTTTTATGTGATTACAGTCAAATTAGGAAACTGAAAATTAAAGGTAAATGAGAAATTATTTGATTAAATGAGTGGATAAACGGTAGCCTTACTGGATATCTTAGGAGATGGTGGACAAACTGGGTACATAAGGAATCATACCGTGAACGTTGCCTTATACCGGACGAGGTATCGAAATTTCGTATTTTGATGCTTATATTAAACGGGGTATAGAGACGGCTCGTTAATTGAAAATGTTAATAAAATTCACGCGTAGTAGGGATATCTCTATGGACCCCCATGGATACCACTAGGCTGATAAAAGAGAAAGTTGTTATTGTCGACTGATTGCGTATGAGATTATAATATTGTTTATATTATTGACTTTATATGTTGGTTTTGAAAATATTGCTATGGTTAGAATGCGGTAAATGATTTTATTTATGATAAACGAATTTTACTTAAATTAAGAGCTCTATTAGTTATTTTTATGATTTCTACTAATTTTTAGTTTTGTGTCGTTGAGTAGCGTGATATTCTTACTGGGGTAGTGTAGCTAACTCTTTCCATTGATTATTTCAAATAAAGAGAATCAAGATCCAGAGTCCGATCCACAAGAGGGTTGCGAGTAGGACGTTTAGTTTTTTTACCTTTTATTTATTTCTTTGATTATTGGTTACTCTTTTAGAATGTTGATTCCCGTATCCCTTTTGAGTATATTGAATTATTGTGTAAAGAATGTAAACCCTAACGCTATTATTTCACTTCCGCACTTAATTTATAATCTACTTCATTTCAAGTTCACGGGTTGTTACAAAAAAAAATATGTTATGACAAAATTGTTTTATTTGGAGTAATCATAACGAGTTAACATCAGAATTAACATTTTTATTCTTAAAAATATCTTAGAATTTATTGACATTGATCATGATCTTAGTGTTTAAAATAATTTTTTATTACATAAATGTAGTGATTTTAAACTACACACAACATTAATAATATTTAATATATTTTTTTTAAAATGGTATTTTTATTTTTATATTTTAATAATATTGTTGTAATACTAAATAATGGAAATGTTGTTTTCACTTTTATGATTGGACTTATTTTAAGTAACACAATCAATCAAATTTCTTAATGCCCACATTATATAAATATATTTTTAACAAACTAAATAAAATCTACTTTTTAAAAAAAAATTAATTCATAGCAAACAAAAAAAAAAAAAACAAAAACAAAATGGGTTGTAAAGGAAATTAATGTAACAATTGATTGTGATGTTGCATTTATTTAAATAATAATAATAAATATATTTTTTTTATAATAAAAAAATTAAAAAGCATGAAATATCACATGCATAACATAATCATCTTTTTATAGTTTGTACAAATTAAATGTTGCTTCCAAAAAGAGAGAAATGTAGGTAGACAGAAATTATGTTGATGTCAAGCAATACACAGATAAATAAAATTACATTAAAAATATATAAAAAAAGTATTTTTAATTACCATAATTTAATTTTGATGACAAATACTATCGTCATAAATGCTCTTAAAAGTTTGATGGCTCTTTGTCACCAATGTATGACATTGCAGTTTCATACATTGTCTCCAGATTAAATGCGTTCCTAAAAAAATAATTTTAAAATGTTCATTTTTTAATATATAAAAAAAAAATTATATTGTTTTACAGTATTTTATATAGATAAAAATAAACCCAACACAACATTATACTTTAAAATGTACAAATTAGAATATCATAATTTAAAATAATATAATTATTATAATTCGTGAAATAAAAATAATATTATAAAGTAAAATAAACTGAAAACCGAAGGTCCATCTTCGGAGGCATATAAGGGCCCGGACTGTATACTTTTGGGCCTGCAATATTAAACTTATGCCCATCGGACGTCAAGTGACTATTCAATCTACTTAATGCGAACCTGAGATCCGGGGAAACCATTTAACATAACCATTTTCATTTTGTTCCCCCAAAGTTTCTACTGTCCTTTTAATGTTTCGTTTTCTACCTGCAATCTCTGAAAAGTTTTCCATTTTCCCAGATTGAAAGGGAAATCCCGGTGCAAGGCAAGGTAAACAAATTATACACATATTTTAGTAGATGTTATTTAAAGGATTAACGTATTTGTACACTGTTTGGTATTGCCCTGGTCCTTGATTAATTATTTTAACTTTCGAATTTCTGGTTTATTTATTTGCTTTTCTTGATTAATGATGTTGTTATTGAGCTCGTAATTCATTAAGAATACCATTTTCTTTTGTGGGTGCATCGTTGGTTTTTGGTACTCCGAGAGTCTTGATGATGAATTCATGGGGGCAAGCTTCGTTTTAGATGTTGGAAAAGATTAAAGCTTTAAACGAGCTGTTTCCTCCTGGTTTGGCGGATTAGGAATTTGGATTGGATACGTAGATTTCTTCGATCATATTTTCTACGTTGAAGCCTGTCTACATTGTGAAAACCTAGTTCAAGATTCTGTATTCAATGCTGTGGTTGTATCTGACTATGTATAAGTAGGTAGGTTTTGGTAACTTGGGGCAATATTAACATGTCTTAATTACTCATTATCCTTAATCTTCATTATCTGGGACTATCCTTTTTGAGTAGCTGTTGTTTAATTTCGATGTTTAGTGTTCAAACTCGTAAACCATGTGTAATTCGATTCTTTAAAAAAAATCTGTTTATATGTTGGTCTACGGAATTAGTTTGGACTGGAGATGGGTAGTAATGACTAATGACTATGGTCACATCCCTGTCTTGCCACATGTGTCTCCTCTATGGAGGCAGTTGCTTTCGTTCTATCACTTTGAGCTTCGGCTCCGATCAAATTAAGGTGGTGAAAAAAATTCCTTTTTAGAAACTTCTCATTCTCATGTTTATAGTTTTTAGAAATACATTAAGAGGGTGATGCCACCTTTATTATCAAACCAAGTGCTAAGTTCCATGAAGAAGTGTGGATTAATAGTTGTTGTAACTTGTAAATTCAGTAGGAGATGTATGACATCTTAGTGAATGTACGAGGTTCTGTATGCAATATCCTGCAAACGTGGTTCTTAGTAGCCATTGGTTCAACACGGAGTTGGTGACATGTGAGGCAAAGTGGTGTCAGGCAAATTACGAATGTGCATGGGGCCAATATGATTTAAGGCTGTTTGCATGGTTATATGATTGGAAGATGTTGGAATTGAACGGTGAAACTCCGGCCATTATGCTGGGAGTGCTAGTAGTTTTAGAAACAGCAAATATATTGACAGTGTTAATTTATTTCCAAAAAAAAAAAATAATATTAACAGTGTAAATTGATTAAACACTACTTATTTTAGCTAAAGGTTGTGACATCCGATGGCAGGTTTCGGTAACTTGAACTATTGAAATTTATGAATATATGTTTGTCAAACCATGGCATTTCTTTCATATAGAGGCGGCAAAGCTTCTTTACTTTTTTCAGAGAGATCATTGAGAAAAATGAGTTCATCAGAATAGGATTCTCGCTCCTGTCTTCTGGTGCCTTTGATCAATAAAGGTTTATTGCCTATGTTTCACAAGAGCCTTACAGTGTAATGGCACTTGTGTGCTTCTTACCCCTTAGGAATCGTCTAGACAATTCTTTTTACATTCATTTGTGCATTTTAGAAACGACAATGGGCGTCTTATGTGTTGAATTTTCTGGATTAAGGATACTTTTGGATGCTTATTGAAAAATATAAATTTTTTATTACAATCCAAGAAAATACTATATATACAAGTTCCCTAAATTTTTCTCTGAGCATAAAATAGAGAATTCTTTTTTCTTGTTACCTATAGTAAAATGACCTGTTTGGCTGGTTGCAGTATGGGTTAAGAACATGAACTATTACTGTAAATGATTTTTTTTTCCTTTTTTGTTTCTGCAGATTGTGATATTTTCTTTTGGTTCATTTATTATTTATCCGGTTGAAATTGTTTCGGAGGGAATTATCTATGTTCTCCTAAGAAGGAATGGAACTAAAATAAATGAGTCATCTGGAGAAAATGGAGAGTTCTGCTTTGGCTGGAGAATTAGACCTTAACTGCACAGATGATGTAGAAGCAAAGGGTAAAAATCATGTTTATGGAGCGTCTTATACGATTCAAGGAGATTTGGACGAGGAAAGTAATCAGAAATTCACACCATCATCTTCTGATTTCAGACGGGAGCATTCATCATCCTTGTGTGATAAAGACCGATCCATGACACCTGAATTTAACAATGATGGTATGAAGAGGGCCAAATACTATGATGAGGAGAGAAGCTCGTCCCTAGTTAATGGAAATAATAACCAAGGTGAGATGGATGAGTTGCAAGGCAGTTATTTTCATAAATCTTCCTTTCAATATAAGACACAATCTTTCCGAAGTGAAAAGGAAACTGAAGATTATACTCATTCACAGGAATCTCCCCTAACAGCAGATGCCAACCAGGCAGAGGCAACAAAGAGCAAACTTGACTTGGACCCTCGAAAAAAATTCTCCCGAGATTGGAAGGTGAAGAATGATTGTTCCGAGAAATCAGAACACGAGCTTACTAAATCAGTTTGTAATGAAATGGAAGAAGCAGCTGATCACCAAATGGAAACATTGGTTTCTCGCCTGAGGTCACCATCATGCCATAGTCCATCTAAGGATGAAAACTATGGCCGCAAAGGAAATTTATCGACCAAGAGTATAAAACTAGACATGCCCGATTCTGTTTCACATACTCATCAGAATAGCCCCAGGCTATCAACATCACCTGTGGGTAAGCTAGACATGTCAGCTTCACCTGAGGATTCTCCATGCATGGATCAATCTCCAGGTTCCCTTATCCCAATGACTTTACAAAAAAATATTCCAGATTTATCGAATGCACCCATCTCACATGGAAGGAGAAATGGTTCTTCACCTGAAAGATCTGCTCCGGCTAAAGAAATTCCAGTCAAGGACTGTTTATCCCTGCCTGCTGGAGGCATATCTACTTACCCAGGTAAATCTGAGAGAAAGTCTCGTTATAAAGATGATTCTTCCACAAAACGGATATCTCCACCAAGAAGAAACTATTCACCTCAGGATCAACGGCGGCGGAAGAGATCAGCATCACGATCTCCCACACGGGGAAGGGATTTATCTTCTGGATACAGGAGAGGTCATCATGATTCATCTCCTTCAAGATCCTCACATATGAGAGATTATAACAGATCCTCTAGGTAAACATAGTGATCCTTCTTTTAATCTCTCTTTCATGGCCTTTGAAATTAAATCTCTGATTTATTATCTCGGGGGTTCTTTTGCTCTTTCAGATTAGTTTTATATTGTTTTAAGAACAGAAAGCTGTACCTCTTCCATCACATGCTAAACTTTGAATATACCTCAGTTAGCTAAAACCCGAAAAACATGAATGTCATAAATGCGAGTACTTACTCTTCTTTTATACTTGAGTGTCCTACATTGATCATATCGGACTCACTAAAGCTAGTAGCCTTTATTCTTTTGGCTACAGGAGAAGGCTTTCTCCTAGGAGAAGATCTCCTCTGGGACATCACTCTCATCATCACTCACCGAGGCGAAGACCATGGTCACCTCCTCCGAACAGGAGAACCGGCATAGGAAAACCTGGCAAAAATTTATTCATTGCAGGTTTTAGTTTTCTGACAACAGAAAGAGATCTGGAGAGGAAGTTTTCAAGGTTTGGCCGTGTAAGAGATGTCCGCATTGTTCGTGATAAGAGGTAACTGTATGATAGTGCATTTGTTGCTATTCAAAACTCGTGTTCAAATAGATATTCTCGAGTTCTTTTTGCCCCTTGAGCACTCAATCTTTGCTCAAAATCCTACTTTTGGGCACTCAACCGAGCAAAATAGAGAAGTGCACTTTATTGCACTCATATTAGGTAACCATTTTACATACTTGAGTTAAAAAGATTTTCACACATATATGAGCTTGTGTGTGTATATATGCATATTCAAACGACTATATATATGTGTGTTTTAAAAGATTGTCACAACCATATATGTGTTTGTATAAAAATCAGATTTTTACTGAATGTTTGCTGGGTTAATTCTTGGATTTGGTTTGGAGTTGCCTGCTTCACTTTCATTATTATACAAGTTGGTTATTGGTTACATATTTTTCTGTCTGCAAGGTCGGGGGATTCACGAGGATTCGGATTTTTAACCCTGGAAAGAGACGAAGATGCAGATGCTGCAATCCGAGCACTTGACGAGACTGAGTGGAACGGCCGGATTATCCTTGTGGAGAAGACGAAGTCTATGGGGCGCTGAGCCATTTACTGTTCAACTTTCTCTCGTTAAAACTTGTTTGCTCAGTTGAAACTTCACAGAATCTGACTCAATCAACAGCTTATACTTTTTTTTGCATTGAGAACACAAGCTTATACTTTTTCAAGTGATGATATTTTCTGCATGTATCTATTTTTATTAAACATTAAATAGTTTTTTTTTTATTAAGAACTGTTTAAATAAATAATTATTTTAATCGTAGTTTTGAAATGTACAACACAAGCTATATATACATATATATGTAGTATTATGTAAACATATAATTATTAAATTAGATATATAAAATTGACAAACAAATAAATGCAGTGAAAGTGAAAAATATAATTTGGCCAACAAGAAGATGATATCTAGTTTTTTTGTTCCTTTTTTTTTTTTTGTTTGGGTTCTTTTGAAGATGCGCAATAATGTCATATCTTTCATTTGTCATTTTTTAACAAAGAAAAGAGGGACCCAGCTAGAAAGCTTATAATACATATATATATATATATATACACTCACCCACATACATACAAATCAGCCGACCTAAAAGAATTTTTCTTGCGAGCTACGTTTTGCTTCTAAATATTTCTTTTTTCTTTTGTAACGAAAAGTTGTAGAGTCTGATCTAATTATTCCAATTACAAAATTTATATTTTTAATTAACATATTAATAAATTAAATTTTACTGATTTAAATATTATAATATATTATTAATTTTTTCATCATATATTTATAAAAAATAAAATATAAAATATTTTTTTTTCCTTTGGAGATGGAGTTGGGATATAATTCTTAACTTCATTTTTATATTTTATAATTTCTACCCAATTTTGCAATCGTAAATTATAGTCGGTATTTTATAATAAAATATCAAAGGAATAAATTAAAAAGTCATATATGTATAAATATATATTCAAAAAATAAATACATTTTAAATAAAAACTTTCCCAAAAAATTATAAAATTTTAATTTCTAAAAGAAAAATAGACTGCCTAAAAATTTATAATTATTGAGAAAATGAAAAAAAATAAATTATTGAAAAAATTATTTATTTGGGCCCACTATCTCCCTTCTTGGAAGCCGCCAACTTTAAAACGGTGTCGTTTATTTATTTACTTACTTTCTCTAAAATAAAATTTTCCATTTTGGCAACTCCATTGTCCTTATCTATTTATATAACTGTTTTAATTTTTAAACCATAACGTTAATATTTAATGGGTAAAATTAATATTATAATTTTTTTTGTTTATGTAATAATAAATTTAATTTAAAAATTATTTTTGTAGAAAATAAATGAGAACAACAGTCTAATTTTAACAGAGTAGATAATTATAAAGTTAAAAATATTAGGAACGAATATATAATAATTAAATGATATATATGTGTTTTGTGTATTTACAACCGCGTGAAATAATTATCTAAAAGTGATTAATAATTAAGAAATAAAGTAAAAGTCACTAATTATGATTTGATTAATTAAATGCAAATTAAAAGCTGCCATGAGTGATTGCTTGACGATTTCATTAAAATAAAACGTGTTTCTTGGCTAAGACGAAATTTCAAGCGTCGTCGTACGCGCACGTGTTATTATTTGTAGCCAATGGGACCCACTTTTAGGTACTAATCGAACGCATATTGAAAATTTCAATTCGACGTCGTATTTATTTACAAAATATAAAAAATATTTTTTATAAATATTAAAAATAATGTTAATTTCTTTTCTGAAATCATTAAAAAATTTGATTTTAACAAGCGAAACTTAATAATAAATAATATATTAATTATTAAAATAAAAATATTTTTAAAATGCATGACACGCGTATGTTATCCGTATATACACACAATCAACATCATCTATTATATATTCTAAAAAAAGTATGATGGATTATGTATTAAAATATTTTAGTAATTAATTATAAATATTTTTTTTTAAAAAAAAATTATTTATAAGTAAATATTTAAATATTATTAACAGTTTTGGCGCTGTTTATGGGGGTCAATTAGCTTGGCGGATTCTCTGTTTTGGGTCCTGCAGATTACAACAGTTGACTTTGTTTTCTGATATATCATCTATCTGTGAAGACTTTTTAACCACCTGCTCCTCCAGCTTCCAGTTCAAATATTTTCCTGATCTATTTTCCTTTCCTGATCTTCTCAGATCAAAAACACAACTTCGGTTTTCTTTCCCTTTTTCTCCCTATATGTTCTTCTGAATATCGGGTCTTGTTCCTTTATTTTCCTTTCCTGCAAATTCTCTCACTTTCTACGCCTGGGGTAAATCTGTTCTTCGTCAGAAAAGTGAATTTCTCTTCTGAATTCTGTCGTCTCCATTCAAAGTCAGTGGCTCACTCTGTTGAATCTCGTTAAAACTGAAATGGGTTGTTGTTTTTCCGACGGAAAAGGCTCGGACCGGCCAGAGAATGAGTACAGACCCGTAGCGGGCACCGGCCAGAAGCCATACCAATTCGTGGCTCCACAAACCAAACCCACCAACCACATTCCGGCTGCGGCCCGTCAACATCTGGCGGCTCCTGCGCATAGTCTAATACACGTTCATAGACAAGATACAATACTGGGTAAACAATTTGAAAATGTGAAGCTGTATTATTCCATGGGTAAAGAACTGGGTAGAGGTCAGTTTGGGGTAACTTATCTGTGCACAGAGAATTCCACCGGCAAGAAATATGCCTGCAAGTCAATATCTAAGAGAAAACTTGTTAATAAAAGTGATAAGGAAGATATGAAGAGGGAGATTCAGATTATGCAGCATCTTAGCGGGCAACCAAACATAGTTGAATTCAAGGGTGCTTATGAGGATAGGCAATCTGTGCATCTGGTAATGGAGCTCTGCGCTGGTGGTGAACTTTTTGAGAGGATAATTGCTAAAGGGCATTATAGTGAAAGAGCTGCAGCTTCTATTTGCAGAGCTATTGTGAATGTTGTGCATATATGCCATTTTATGGGTGTGATGCATAGAGATTTGAAGCCTGAGAATTTCTTGTTGTCTAGCAAGGAAGAGAATGCCCTTTTGAAGGCTACCGATTTCGGGCTGTCGGTGTTTATCGAAGAAGGTATAGTTTCTTATGACTTGCTTTTGTTGTTAACCTTGGTTATTTTTGTTAATATTGATTTGAATTGATAGTTTGAACTGGTAGATTGGATTGTTTTGATGTTGGTACGAGGCTAATTTCATGAGTTGTTGAGTTGTTCTCTTAAATTTCCTGGAGATTAATTCGCATAATTGGTTCATAATCACTCTGTGAACATGTTTCTGTGTTGGCTTTTTTACAATCTGTATAAACCTTTTACCTTGTATATTTAGATTCTTGTAAGCTTTTTCCATTTTTTTTAAAAAATACTTTCTGTGTTGGTAGTTGGCTGAAATTCACATGGAAAGTGAAATAATGAAAGAAGAATAAGTCTCTTTATTATTTTTATTATCAGAAAGGAAAGGATAAGCCAATTTATTTTGTTTTTTAAAGAGAGCAAAAACTCAGTGGAGTAGTTGGAAGCAGCACTAGTTGCCAATTTAGATGGTTGGTCAGCTTGTCTGTCAAAGTTTGACCAGTTAAGGGTCCAAAGCTTTCACCTTTTTACTTAGGAGGAGAGTTCTTTGATTAAAAGAACTTAAATCCAGACTTCTTTTAGGTGGATACAGGGTGAGATTCAAGCTCGACTTAGTACCAAATTCCACCAGAGGAGTCTCATACCATCTAAACTTCGTGCTCTTAGCTTTTTACGTGTAGGTAGCCAAGGCAACAAATAAATTTTGATAGGAAAAGTTTTTTGATCCAGTTGTATAATTAAACTGACTGTTTGAGTATGTCTCACATAGATGATGATGCTTGATTAGAATTTTTTTTTCAACTTTTTTTAACGGGTCCCCTTACTGGTTGCAAGTTTGTGTGGATACTACCTCATTATTACTTATTTTGTTGATCTTCAAGCTACTTCCTTGATGGTTACCTAAACATTTCCTGTATAATTTTGTCACCTCCCCTGAGATTCGCAAGACATGACATATTGACAAAATATTGGCTAAGAAATAAAATCAAGAAGTATTCATGTTTGACAAGGAAGTTTTGCTTTTGCAAGTTGGATATAAAGTTGGGCTCATGGTCTACATACAAAATTTGTAGTTAATTAGGAAAACATCAATCTTAAACTTAGACTGAGTTGTTTTTGATTATTTTCTTTCCAGGAAAGGAATACCAGGACATTGTTGGGAGTGCATATTACGTTGCTCCTGAAGTATTACAACGCAAATATGGAAAGGAAATTGACATTTGGAGTGCAGGAGTTATATTGTATATTTTACTAAGTGGTGTACCTCCATTTTGGGCAGGTAATAACATAGAACTACTTCATGAGTCTTAATAGTTTATCAGTTTCATATTTTTCCTTGCTTTTCTTCTCTCTTTCTTGGTATAAATGTTAACAAAAAGTCTCCATTTCGGAAGATATATCTTTTCATTGATGACTTATCTTCATAAACCACCAATGCTGATGTTTGGATGGGAATTGCAGAAACAGAAAAGGGGATCTTTGCAGCTATACTAGAAGGAAATATTGACTTTGATAGTGATCCATGGCCAACCATATCAAACAGTGCCAAGGATTTGGTCCGCAGAATGCTGACGCAGGACCCAAAACAGAGGATCACTTCAGCTCAAGTTCTTGGTATGTTAATGATTGCGCCTTACCGTGGAGTAACTTATCGAAAGTTTCCTTCAAGCCTTTCTCAGTGTTGTCTTTAAGCCCCAATAGGGTCTTTCATTTTTCCTTTTAAAGTTCAAACTTGGCCCTGCTGGTTTTCTTGCTGAAATATATTCTGAAGTTCTTGTATGTACATTTATTCAAACAGAGGACAGAACATTATGTATGCCATAGCTTTAACATCTGTCACTTCTGAGTCACCTTGTTGTTAATTGCCTGTTTTTTAATTACTTAACTTACATCACGTGGCAGTGCATTTCTTTTCGAACTAAATTCTAGAGTAATGTGGTTCATTCAGAGCACCCTTGGATTCGAGAAGGTGGAGATGCATCTGACAAACCAATTGACAGTGCTGTTCTTTCTAGGATGAAACAATTCAGAGCAATGAACAAACTAAAGAAACTTGCACTAAAGGTAAGACCAATATCATCATGCTTATCCAGGGAGAAGAAAAAAAGAACAAAGAATCATCAGTGGATGATATTCCATCATGTGAATTAGAATGTACTTCCTTTGTAGGTCTTGATCAAACATGACTGTCCTTCTAAACCTTTTAACTCATGAAAATAATCACAGGTCATCGCAGAAAATCTCTCAACAGAAGAAATTCAAGGGCTCAAGGCAATGTTTACTAACCTGGACACTGATAAAAGTGGCACGATCACCTATGATGAACTGAAGACAGGATTAGCTCGATTAGGATCAAGTCTTACGGAGGCTGAAGTAAAGCAACTCATGGAAGCTGTAAACTACTAATCTCTATATTCCTTAACTTCTGTTTATTACTGTGCTTTCATGTTAACTGAAGACTTGATTTTTGATTTCTGCATTCAGGCTGATGTGGATGGAAACGGGACGATTGACTACATTGAGTTTATCACTGCAACAATGCACAGACACAGGCTAGAAAGAGACGAGCATCTTCACCAAGCTTTCCAACATTTTGATAAGGACAATAGTGGGTAAGTCTTTTTACATCAACCTCATATCGGATAGATCCAATTATAATGACTTGCATAAAACTACCAAGTCAACATAGCTTGTATTTTACTGTCAGATCAATTAAAATATTTGGCATCAAATACAATAGTCACTCTAGATTTTTCTCATTCAAACATGCACACTTCCTGTGACATCGAGCTCTACAGAATTAGGGAGTCGACTAATGCTTCCCAATTACAGTTAGGAGTCAAGTTTAAGTTTTCAGATTCTGCTTGTTTCATTCTGAGAAACTTGATTTTATCCAACTTTGCAAAGGCTTCATGAGACTTTTTGGCTCCATGTATTCCTCGTCTCACGGGTGTAGAAGCCGTTAAAACACTTTGCCTCAAATACATGAATTATAGTGCCACTCTGGAACAGGTTTCTGTAACTTCTTTTCATGTAAAGTTGTAAACTGAAAGCAATAGCCAAAGCATATGATTACCATGAAAATTTAAAGAAAGCCATGATCATGATTGACATTTCTTTTTGGGTGCTTATAAGTAATTTTAAGCATCATGGTAAAATTTACCACCTTGATAATGCAATAACCAAGCAGTACTTGTTATGTGCCAGTAAGGAGTTTAGTGCAGGAAAAAGCACCTTAATCAAAATATGTATTGTTCTTTTCTCTACAGGCATGATTATATGCTGTTCTAAATCAAAACCTGGATCTTTTAAGTTGATCAAACCAACTAGTATTTACACGATTTCTTTTTTTTTTTTTTTTTTTAAAGAAATCTCAGATAACCTCTCAGTCTTAATTAGATAACCTCTCAGTCTTAATTCTTGCAGCTTCAAGTATTGGAAATTCTTATATTTGTATTGCTTTTCAGATTCATCACAAGAGATGAGCTAGAAGCAGCCATGAAAGAGTACGGGATGGGCGATGATACTACAATTAAGGAGATAATTTCTGAAGTTGACATAGACAATGTAAGCCGGTTTCTGGTCTCAAAATCTTTGTTCTTCTCATCTCGCAACTCATCTATTTTCTATGCTTTCTACAGGATGGAAAAATTAACTATGAGGAGTTCTGTACAATGATGAGAGGTGGAACCCAACAACAAGCAAGTCTATTCTAGATCATTAGCAGTTGTTAATGATTCCATAGAATTTCCTAAAAAAGCTTACTTTTGTTTGGGTCAATTCTAAAATTTTTCCTTGAATGTTTTATGTGCATAAGTATTGACCCATCTTCGTTTACTTTAGTTTCTTCTTTTTTCGCCGTAATATTATTAATTTTTTGTTTTCCTGCAATCTTTCAGGAGTTCATGTTTTAATGTTAGTTTCATTTGAACAAAGAATTCATTTGCTGGATTTCTGTATGATTCATCACAATGAGGGTTTGCCTGAGATTGAGCTAATTAATTTTATTCACTTCATAATTGGAACTGATTAATTTTATTTGTGGAATTACTATTCAAGAATTTACTGTTAATTTAAAGGAAAATTATTACTTTGCTTCTCAAACTATCAATTAGATCTCAATTTCGTAGGACCAAGAAACTACTCTATATATATATATATATATATATATATGCATATATATTCTTAGATGAGATGGGGATAATTATTTTGAGATGAAATGGAAACTGGCACACAAAATCAAGCAATCCAATTCACATGGTCAAAAAGTAGATATGAACAATTCAAGTCTTTACTATACTAACAATATACACATAAATGCATATATGTACACAGATAACACGCTTCTTTTAGTAACTATCTAACAGTGCGTATATATATACATGCATATATAAACTACTCTTAAAATATTAATTCCACCTTACAGTGTTTTCAATTTTTTTGAACCCGTAGAAACTTGAATCTTTTTTCATGAGGGTGATAACAAAATCCACATTTATATTTACCAGCATATTTCTCTCTCGTAAATATGAAACTTTGGTAAATTTAAAACATACTGCGTCATAATTAAAAAAAAAATTATTACCATCACACAATCTTAAGAAGCCATAGTTAAGACTTGAAAAAATCAATATTTACCAAGACAAATTCTTCATTGTTCAATATAAATATCATCACACAATCTTAAGAAGAGCCATAGTTAGACTTGAAAAACAAACTTCTTATTGTCATTTATCAATACTTTAACTTCATTACATTCAAACATAGCTTAGATATAAAATTAGAAGAACATCCAGAGAGAGCAAACAACTTGATCCTCTAGGCAAGGAGCAGTTGAACTATAACATAAAGAAACCACACTTGACAGTTCAAGAAATCAAAGAGGACTTAGAAACCATGAATCTTGATTTGGTCCTTCTTCACAATCCCAGCCTGAACAAGAAAGTGAGAAACGTTCTTCCGCTGGTCACCTTGAAGCTGAATTATCTTACCCAGCTCTTTGTCCTGAACAACATTCCCATTACAGCAGAACTCCTTCTTCAGGTCCTTGAGGATCTTCTCGTAGCTGAATTGCTTCTTCAGACCTTGCACTGTCGTCAGGCTCTTCTTTCCATTCCTCTGTTGTATACGAATATGAACATAACCTTTGGCTCCAGGTGCATCAGTGTCTTTCGCGTCTGCAAATGGGTCGAAGGTAGTTGGGATCTGGACGTCTATGTCAACCATGTACCTTGCTTTGTAGGAACTTGAAAACTGTTAAGACCTGAAGTTTAAACAGCTGCTCTCGCTTGATCCGGTTGTTTGATACGCTCTAGTGCTGCCAAGGACAAGAAATCAAACATTAGCTTCCATATCTAGCTATAAATATGAACCAATTTCAAAATTTAAAGTTGCAAAAAAAGAAAAGCATTATTTATTAGTTTAAGATGCTCACCCCACACAAAAACCCATCACGCTAAATTTGCAGATAAAAAATCACCTCTCCAGTTGTATATAATAAAATTTAAAGGTTTAACCAGACTATACATATATATACATATATTAGTTTAAGATGCTCCCCCCACACAAAAACCCATCACGCTAAATTTGCAAATCAGACATCATCTTCTCACTTGTATGTAATAAAGTTGAAAGGTTTTAACCAGACTATTAATAGATTACATTGTATACAGTTAGTCAAACCCCCATGCAGAAATTGTGCATATGAGACACAGATCTCATCAATGATCCCCACAAATCACTGAAAATGGAAATATCTGATTTAACATTAGATTTTAACTTCTTATCTCACGTTGGAAACTAGAATTTGAAATACAAAGGAAGCATGTTCTAAGTCTGGTTATCATGAATACTAACATCCAACAAACGCAATCAACATGGCGATACGAGGAAGCAGCAATCAAGAAGGAAACCGATTAGCAATCAATAAAATTTTTTTCCCGTTGACCATATTAATATATAGATATTGTATGTACACGTTACAAATCCTAAAAAACGGGATGCAGATGATAAATTTAGGTGACATAAAAAGATATGCCTGGATCATCCAAGCAAGTTTGTCACAAATCAAACAGATAATATTGAGGAATCCTATGAGTTCTACAAACCAGCACAAGGAAAACTCATACACAATTTAAGCAAATAATCCCACACGAAAAATACATGATCAATCAATAGATGAGAATAAATCTCATCCAAAATAAATCACCATCACAAAGCATAGAGATTGGAATGAGAAAAAAAAAAAAAAAAAAAAAAAAAAGGCAACCGATTTGAGCTTTCGCATTGAAGAAAAGCGCTGTACGTACCTCAAAGAAAAAGAAAGACCCAATTCAAAGCTCCCGAAGAAATATGATGAGAAGAGGTTAGAAGAAGAGAGGTGTATATATAGAGGCAGGAATGGCGGTCGAGTCTGAGCCACGAGATTTAACCATGGTTAAGCTGAGCTGGGTCCTTGAAGGAAAGGAGTAGGTCGGTTTGTCCACGTGGACGGTGGCGATGAAGAGACGAACGTGATCATAATTATTATTATTATTATTATTCTTTTGTGAAGTAGGAATAATTATCCAAAGGCATTTCTCTTTTCTTACGCGTACGAGCAACGCACTCCTCTTTCATTCAAGTGCTTTGGAATAAATTTTTGATATTTATTTATGTATTTTATATTTATATTAAAAAATTCGGATAATAAAAAATAAAATGACGTACAAAATTAGAAAATAAAAATTTAAAATTAATTGATTGTGAATTTTGAAAATGTACGTGAAAGGATAAAGTGGAATGGGTTGGAGATGATGAAGGATCCAGAAAAGCTAAAAAAGCCGGGCCCCATTTGATAGGGTGTTAAATGGGATGTTGATTTTAGTTTTTGACTCTCTTGAAAATTCTATCCCATGTCTCATGTTTTTGACTTAACCCATCTTATTTGTTTACAGCATATATATAAAATTAAGTCAGGTAATAAAACTACATTAATTAATAAAATATTATTATTAAATTATTTTATTTGTTTTTTCACTGCCTATATTGACTTTCTTTCCATCATATTTTATGACATTGGATATGTACTTTCCGCAGCCTAAAATGTATTTTTTTTTGGGCCAAAATGGTTTTTAACTTCAATATAATAAATTTTACAAGTGCAAACTAGTATTTTATTTATTTATTGGTTAATAATAATAGGCTAAGTAATTAAGCATATCTCCAATAACAATAGGACCATACGACTAGTCAGTGAAAGGAAAACCCATTAGGACTTCAAGCACAATTTAGTCTTGGTTGGTAAATAGACTAAAATTCAATTGAGTTTCCAAAAAGCATATATATAATTGTATGACCATTGAGTGCACGAAAGCTAACACAAACAAAGTTATTCGGGTATTATCCTGTTTCAATTGTTCAGGTATTACTGCCAACCACTCCATTCAAGTAAAAAGAAACTAGACCTAGTTACATCAAGAACCTCCATGCATATACACTGGCTTAACTGGTACCTCTACAAAATAGGGACAGAAAATAAACATACGTACCTTTACAATTTACCATATGATACGGCACACAGCAGGAAACAGGTCCACAGTTCATCCCACATTTGGGCCAAAATACAATGTTAGTAATAATGTAGTTTCAGCTGTTAAAACTAACCCGAACCAAAATTTATGTGCTTGGATGATCTGGCATGCGTTCGAGATCCATTTTAACTTGATGAATTGTCCATTCCATATTTTCCAGTTTCTGTGAAGAAATGCTTGCGTTGAGATTGACAGAGATATGAATGAAGAAAGAATCTTTTGCGAGATTGTGTTTAGGGTTTTACCTGTACAATGTCGTGGTACTGCCTTGCAATTGTGTCAAAGTGGGGATCAACACCTTGGTATTCACGAAGGCGGGTAACCTGATTATTTTATTTTATTTATAAAAAAATACAGAACACAAGTTGGTCAGTGGAAGAAAACATCAGTAGCTAAAATTATACAGCTTGTTGGACAAAGATTTATTGTTATACTTGCATTGGTAACATTCAGATTTCACCAGATTATTCTAGGACAAACACTGTCCACTTTGTCCAATATTAGAACATGCAGCATTGACAATGTTAACCAAATCTCATTTGGCGAAAAGAGAAAAGAACATTCTCTTTTCACCATGCTTAAGTCATACGGGACAGTCCCGCTCACTAAAGTTTTTCCAGAACTTTGAAATACTGGAGAATGCTATGACACCTTCTTGACTTTGAAGATTATCGTAGTGGAAAGCAAAAAAGAACAACTAGTATACAGACTTAATTTCTTAAAGAAAGAGAGCACAAAAATTAAGGACTCAACCGCTTTGTTATAAGCAATAGAAGCTTCCTCTGTAGCCTCAACAAGATACTTCCTGAAAACAAGAGTAAGATTGATCAGAAACCCATATTAATTTTATTGCTATGAATAATCAATTGCTTCTCAACATTGATTACCTTATTTTATGTAGGGCTGGTACTGACTCTTTAGTGTAAGTTTCAAGAAGAAGAACATGTTCCAAAACCCTGAAAAAAATAAATGCACATATCATAAGCTATTATAAAAGATGATAAACCTTGCGTAACCGATATGATCAGCATATAGAACTAATAAGAAAAAGCATGGACTGAAAAACTGTTGCATACAATGGAGAAGATCAGCCTTGCTCAATTGTTTCTTTTTATGATGTATAGAGGGGGTGGGGATTATTGAAGAAATGTGCTTGAAGTAATAGGATGTTTTAAGTTAGTTAAACTAGATAAATTTTGATCTCGAAGATAAGTAGTCAAAATGCTGATTGCAAAAAATAAATAGTTATTTTCTGTGAGAAACTAAAAACATAAATTAATTACAAATATTTTATTATAGAAATTTTAAGTGAATATCAAAAGGGTAGTTAAGTAAATTACAAGAGAAAAAATAAGATCATAAAAAAGTGAGAAAAGGGGTGCTTGTTTCAATCTTCTTAAAGTTACTTTAAAATCCTAACAAGCACCCAGGTTTTCATGTTACCAAATGAAAAGATGGACAAAAAGTGCTTTTAACTGCTCAGCACCAAACAAAGAAATCCCAAACACCTTCACCATTTCTATGAGGCAAGTTAAAGTGAAATTTTTGTGCTTTAAGTCCATATAATTTTTAGTCTCAATGAGCTTTATGTTCAGAATGCTTTAAGCCTAAAACATATTCTGATAACTGACTTCTTTACCAAAAAGCTACCAAGTTCTTAGTGAAAATATGAGCTTTAGGCTAAAATTTCAGTAAAATGACTAACACGAAAAATTAGTTACTCTTTGAATTAAGAATTATCCAAGTGTCATTTTGTTCCACAAGTACTTAGAGCAATTCTGTCACGAGAGGATCCTATACTGGATATATTTCAACAATAAGAGATATTTATGTAAGTATGATGTTTATAAGTTATTAAGGTATTTAACTTATTTAGAAATAATGAATTATAGGCTTATTATCAATATAAGTTTTTTATTTTCTATTTAGTTAGAATATAATAGATTATTCAATTAATTAGCTCGTCTTTCTATTTAACAGATTTTTTATTTTGATTGTATTTTGATGCCTATAAATATGGTATCCCACTTTTGATTTGGTAGACTATTCATATGATAATTAATACAAATATTTATTGATTTGTGATATATGAGATCTTTCTCTAAATATTGTGCTCAACTTTTCTTTATCCTATATTAATTTATTATTTAAGAAAAGATAAGAAATAGTGGTAGAGTTGTAATCTTTCTATTTTGATAAGAGATATAGTGATCCAAGATAATGGTTGAAGGGGCTAAAACTCCTTAAGTTAAAGCTTTTTTAAAAAGGGGGTAGTACTCTAAAACTTCTTATTCTGGCTAAAAACTAATGAACTTTTACCACTTTCCATATTCATTCAAATTGTCTATAACCTTCTTTTTTTCTTTACAAAAATGTGCCTTAACCATCTTGATCATTAGAAAAAAAAAATCCAGACACGCACTACCTGTGTGACAAAAATCAAATCATCAAAATTAAGCTAGCATTAAGATGACTCATTAAATGATTGAACTATTTACTTATGTATAAGAGGACTCCTTGACAAAATCTTTTAAATATAATAGATGGTGCGTCCTTTCAGTTATCCAAATACTTTTCTGAACCTGATCCAACTAACTTATTGTCAATGAAGCATCAGTAGCATGAAACAAACTAAAATGAAAAAGATATGGTGACAAACCTTAGTTTTGCGCTCATGGTCTCGCACCTTTTGCACAGCCAAGTTTTATGTAGTTCATCCTACAAGGTATATAGAAGATAGACTTAGAATTCTCTCCAAGAAGAAAAAAGATGAAACCGTAATAGACTTTGATGAAGATATGAAATTAAACTTCTAAACTATTCAAAAAATTCATATTGCCAATGCTTACATATTTATGTTGATGTTGCAACTTCAAATCCTTGACAAGCTTAATAAGCACTCCAAGTATTTGTTCTAGGACCTTCTCACGAGAAAATTCACATGGCATGACAAAGGAAAAGGTATTCAGTTTAGAAGCATGACAATAAACAAAAATTTCTGACCGCAAGAAAATGTTTCTCAAGGACAAATGCAGAGGAGATGCCTAGAGAAGTAAGTAATTGTACAAAAATCAAAAGTTTTTCCTATTCACCTACATTGTAATATTCTGCAAACTTCCTATCTGCAGAGTATAGGTCCTCCCTCAGAGTTGCTTCTTCCCTCTCAATCTCCTCAATAATCAACTTGACCCTGAAAAAGGAAGTATAAATGCGGTCAAATTTTGTATGCACTGGGTGATGCTGAAAACAAATTGAGAAAACAGTTCAGAACACTATAATTTCTCACATCTGATTAAGCCCCACATTCCACAAAAAAGAAGAAATGGATGGATGAATGAGCCAAGCAGAAATACAAAAAATGGCATGTGAAAAACAGTACATGATTATTTTGTTATGAACTGTTATAAAGAGTTTTTGTCAGTAACCTTTCACCTCAGGCAAAGAAAAGACAGCAGATATGTTGTGAGCTTAAAACAGAAAAAAACAAGAAAAGACAAGATTTTCGCTAAATGATTTATTTTCAGGCTACAAACTGTACCATCTTATACTGCAAATACAGGACATAAACACGGCTGCATCTTGAATCAGTCCTCAACTTCTTTTTCCTCTTTTATTAATTCAGGATACCACAAAGACCACATATCAGCATATTTTAGCTTTTCAATAAAAAAGAAAAAATGTAACGACATCATCACACCATAACTGGCTTTATAACTTTACAGCATATCATTTGCAAAGCATATATCATTTTTCCATCTCAAGGAATGCAAGAAAAATGTAAAAGAAAAGTAAATGAAACCTTTCTGGAAGACGAGCACTTGAGTTTTGATTTCCAGATGATGAGTCTGCGATAAAAGAAGGGAGAATAATAAGCACAGAATCATTCTATATAAACAGGGAAGTGTAAATGAGACAATCATTCTTTTAACAAAATGTAGCATAAATGTGACAATCATTCTTTTAACAAAAATGTTTATTGTAGTTATATAATCTATATTTCAAATTAAGTGCCTCTCTTTGAGTTATACAACCTATATTACAAACTAAGTGTACTAAAGCATCCTCCAAAAAGAAGATCACTCTGATTTATGCATTTGCATAGTTAATCTGAACTTTGAATAAGTGATAGCATTAAACATACCAGATCTACAGACAAATGCATGCAGCAGACATGGGAACAATCATAAATATCCTGAATGAAGTTGCTATCACCTAGTGGTGGAATAAATATACACCCAGAGATAATTTAGAGAGAATAAGATAGATGACAGCCAAAATACCTACCAATATCATCAATAATACAATCAGCTAGCTTATCACACTTGGCTTTCATTCGAGCTTCAATCTCACTGGAAAGAGACATCTGGTAGTTGGTCATATCCTAAATCCATGCAATCAGAAAAAATTCACATAAGTTCAAATCATATTCTAGGAAGTAATAGCCATTTATACACCATACATGCTAACAATATTATATTGCAAGCCATCACTGCAGGTAATAGTACCATGGATAAAGGTGATTGTTGGAGCTGAGCTTGCCATAGATAAGAAGGTGTTATTCCAAGAAAGCGATTAGGAACACCACCTACACTGGGTTCCCCATCATTAGAACTAATGCTCGTTCCACCCACAGTGCTATTAGCAGAACTATTTGTATAATTTACAGAGTTTGAGCTTGAACTGATTGTAACATTGGTACTTGTGCTATCAAGAGAGCTTCGTGACATTATACTCCATTTTTCAATTTCTTCCTCATGAATTTCACCATCTTTTGATATAAGAGGAAGCCTCAGTCTCTGAGCAGCTTCTGCAACAACCAACCGGTGCTCTAGAGTCTCATAAACCTGAAAACCATAATACAGAATGGTACCACTAGCTGGATTTACCAAACAACAATAACTAATTGGGAACAAAAAGAAATAAGAAGATTTGACTATCCCAGTAAGTCAGGGTATATTGAATAACCGGCATAGTTTGGATTACTGTCCGTCTTAGTTCCACCACAAGAAGCCATCTTAACAAGCATCCCATGCAGTAAACATAGATTGCAAAAATTTATCTAATAATTTAATCCGTCAGCAAAAGCTAGGACTATTACAAAACAACTATTATATAACATGGCATATTTCTCTACTTCAAATTTTTAAGAACTATAATGAAAGTTATAATTGTCAAGAATCACAATTGACAAATGCATACAGATAATACAGCTTTTTTTTTAGTTGATTGGGAAAGCAAAAATATGGAGGTTTATGGATTAAAACCTGGGGAGAATTCTTCAAGCCAAGTTGCAGATATAGACCCTGCACATCTCGAACTCCTCCATGGTTAGCCACGGAAACAGCCTGTTGATACTCTTCCACCATGGCAATTGCTTCGCAATAAATGGCCTACATTCAACCAAACATACTCATAAGAGTCCAAAGACCATCAATTGTTGAAATTCCAGGTAATTCGTTGTAATATCCAGTAAACTCTCAAATCCGGACCCCTAATAGCACATAACCGGGTTTAAATCACACTACGAAACATATATCTAAAAGATAGGCGATAAAAGCTACTAAGCAAATCAACAAGCACATAGCGAAAATATGGGGAAAAAAAAAACACAAACAAGAGCATTACCATTGCTTCCAAGTATCGCAATCTCTCTCGTGACATCTCCTCTCTAGCCTGCAATGTCCATAAGTAACAAGTATTAATCTGATTAGGTCAACAAGAAGCCCAATTCTGAGTTTTTTAAATCTTAATAGAACCTGCATTTTACCGCAACCAACAGAAAAGGAACAAGACCTTCGGAAAAATTAGAAAAAATGTAGAAACTAAAAGGACAGAGAAAAAGAGAGTACAAGTTGGAGATCATAGTAAGCGGATTTGGAGACCAAAGATCCATCGGGAGCCAAGCAGTGACGCTCCAGCTGATCGATCACCTGACTAACATCTGCTGGTAGGTTCTGCACTCCTACTTGCAGTCCCTTCACCATCTGCTGGTAACTGATCGCTGATGAAGACGTTGATGACGGTACAAAACGACGTCGCTTCCTCTGCGGGTATGAACTAGAGATTCAAAAACTGAATTCAAGGGCCGGCCTTTTCTCCATTTGAAAAAGTTGAAAGCAGCAGGAAAATGGATGATGTATGATTTTACCAAAATACCCCCGGATTATGGGCATTTTAGTAAATGGACGGATCTCGCTTAAAGCCAATATAAAAAGGACAAATTCGTATTTTCCATGTCGGCTTTCTTCATCGCTAAATCGTTGATAGACTGAGTAGTCTTCGTCTCTCTCGATCTAGCTTCTGTTTTCTTTTGCAAGTGAAAATCTGTTGGAAACTGAAGAATTGGATGGAAAAGAAAATCGAGGAAGGATTTAGCGAATTCTCTCGAGAAGCTTGATTTGAATCCCTGTTCCAATTCCAAACCCAAGTCTCTTCCTCTCGTCTCTTCCACATCCTCGTCGTCATCATCGTCCAGTAAGTTTCTCTCTGTTTATGTATACTTGCGTGCTTTGTAGATATGCGAATATATGGTTTTCTATCTTTTTTTAGCTGGACGGAAATTGACCGATGGCTAATGTGGATGTTTTTTGTTAGAATTCATCAGACCTTAAGGTGTTACTTTCCTCACTATATCTTGTTTGTACTTCTTGTTATATTCTTAAGTTTCCTTCAAACCAAACATGCTTTTCTGAATGCGAAAATACCCTGAACATGTGTATGTACATCTGTATAACCCTCATAATTTCTCTTATTTCTCTTTCTCTTTTTGTTTTCCGTAAATCATTGCATAAAATGTTATTGGGGCTTTGGTAGTAAAAATTTTTAAATTGATTTTTGTTGATGACAGGTATTCGAACTGGGAGGACGAAGCCTCCAAATTTAGTGAGTTTATGTCTCGGAGTTGTTGGCAAGCACTTGGAGGATATTATTCCGCACTTAGATGATATTGCAACCGGCTTTCCAGCTGACATTAAGGTTGGGAAATGGAAATTTTTTCTCCATTCTTTAAGGATTTGTGGTTCTGCTAATTAATTTGGTTTCATAGTTTGAAAGAGCATGGAGGTGATTCTCTTATACTTTCATTTTTCTTCATGGTTGTGTTTGGCACTTTTGTGTTAAATATCTCTTATTATCATGTGGGTCAGTGCACCCCAAAATGTTGCTTAGTAACTTGGAGATGGAATTGTAAGAGCTGCAAAAGTTGTGAGCTCTATATGTGTGATTTTCGAAATTGCAAGTAGTTGTTAAGCATCATTTGCCAATCTGGATGACAAAATTTTACCTTGTCCTTAGTATTCAAACAACGCGGAGGAAAAGAATTTTTTTGGGCAAGGAAAAGATTGTTTAAGTCCATTTGACTGTGGCTGATTTGTTTAACTCAGATTGGTTTTTCTAAAGCTCATCTAACCGCCCTGATTGTCATGACCTACATGATATACTGCTATCCGCACTAGCACATGTAAAAATAATATTTCTGTTGTTCTACATGTTTGGGGAACTACTAAGAGTTTATTGAAATTCTTTGAGCCGTTATTTTGTGCAACAGATTGCAGTAGCTGCAATTGCCAGAAGAAGAAAGCTACTGAATGATGACATCATCATCGCTTTAGCCGATAGTTCTTGGGAAATTCTTGATGTGTGTGGTTCAGATGTTTCTGATTCTGGGTTAGCAAAAATGGCAGGAATTTGCAAATCTCTTCGTGCTGTGGATATAAGGTATGATAGTTAGACAGTTTGTTTTGAGGCTACCTAACAGTAAAGTAAACTATAAGATATTTCTAACATGATTAGAGAACCAGTTGATATGGAACCCAACATTGAGGGGAGGACTGTCCATTAGATATGTTCATGTGCACTTTATACAGATTTGTTGCTGTTAATCACACTTGTATTTGCATGTGACATATTACAGGCGTCCATGCACAAACATGTTATTATAGAAACTTGATAATCTAAATCTTCTAAATTGAATATCATTTATGAGACCATAAATAGTGGAATTTTTGTAGGTCAAATATGATATGCCTATGGATGGTTTATATAATTGGAAAACTTGATTATGTTTACTTGTCAACCTTACTGTCACACTGTTCCATCAGATAAAATCTTCAAGTACATGTGCTAACTTTTTGCCCAATTGATTTTTGTGCAGCTCGTGCAATCAAATTACTTCTGTGGCTGTCTCTGAACTCGTCCAACAATGCCATTCATTGGAAACTTTAAGATGCGGGTATCATCTGAAACACATTGTACACGTAAAATTTGCTGCAAAAATTTTTCAGCATGCATCTTACTAGTGTCATCTTCTTCTTCTTCTTCTTCTTCCCACGACATTAGAAAGCCATGGACATCATTTTCTTGCCTCTCGATCTTCCATCAATAGGAAAGTGTAGGAGCGAGACTACCTCTGTGCTAATCAAAGTTCTAGACCTTAGTACATGTTCATGATTAACATTTATATTCACTCAATGTCATGACTTAATGTTAGAGTAGAGAGGCTTGAATGAAGAGAGAACATTTTAGATAAACAAAGGAGAATGACCAGGGCTTTTAACTAGAGGTACAAACTTTATAAACAGGCAATGAACCAAAGTAATGTTTGCAGAGGGTGCCCAAGGAGTGAGTTCACTGCACGTAGTTGCTTGAGCATATTTAAACCGAAGCTGAAAGATGTGGCTGGAGATTCTTGGGAGGAACTTGATGCCACTGACATTGGTCATGGTGCACAATCATTACGCTGGCTAGTTTGGGTATCGATTTATCCTTTATAGTAGATTGCAATTTCTTTTTTGATAACATAATCATGTCACTGCCTTTTTACAATTTGTTTTTGCCCCCCAAATTGGAACTATCCTGAATAAGTTGCTTCCTGCCTACTGTTTGTTAATTTTTCCCCTAATGGACTATATTTTTCCACAGCCAAAGATAGATAAAGATTCAATGGAAATGCTTGCCACAGAATGCCCAAGAATTATAGTAAATCCAAAGCCTTCCCTGTTTGGTTTCAAGGGAACTGAAGTACCCAGAGAAGCATTATCAGATGTTGCATTGGATGATCCTTTTGTGAAAGATATTGATCCAAAAACATGGCTTGTATGTGGCTTTGTACCAAAGGCCATATCCAAATTTCCTTCGAGCCCCAACGAGCTGTCCATGGCAGAAAAATTTAGACTTGCATTTGTGGAAAGGGACACTCGTTTGGCGCCAAAGCGTGCCAAGAATGCAAGGCAACATCAGCGGCGTGCTGAGAGAGAATGGATGATGACAGATACAACAGCCAAGGCAATGGCTTTGGCCTCAAAGTCAAAGGTGATCAAATCACTGCGAAGTAGAAACTAGAGATGGATGCTTCTTTGTAATGTAACCTATGATAAAAAACAAAAAAAAAAGGAACCAAAAAAGAGAATACAGATCCTCAAATTTCCTTTCTTTCTTGGATAAGAGGGGTATGCCTGGATCCAAGGTATAGGATCTTTTTATGTTAAAAAATGTGTTTGGGTTCTCGATTCTATTATTGAGTTAGAAGCATTGGATTAAAATTTGAGGAGACAATAGCTGCAAATTGCTACGTACTCCATAGCAAGGCACGGGATTGCTGCAAGTAAGCTTCACTGTTCTTAAATAAAAAATTTTAATAGGGAATTAATCGTAATATACTGGGGGTCAGATTGAAGAACTAAAATAATAAATGTATCGTAGCAATAAGAATTAAGGATAAAATATAATAACCGCCATGAATTTCCTTTGTGGTTCTGGCTACATGTGTCATCGG